CTTTTTTTTTTTTTTTTTTTTTTTTTTTTTTTTTTTTTGTACTAGGGATTAAACTCAGGGGGACTATGAGCCACATCTCCAGCCCTATTTTGTATTTATTTAGAGACAGGATCTCAATGAGTTGTTTAGTGCCTCACTTTTGCTGAGGCTGGCTATGCACTTGCAATCCTCCTGCCCTAGCCACTCGAGCTGCTGCGATTACAGGTGTGCACCACCAAGCCTATAGTTCTATGACCAGTTTAAAGACAAAACATAATTTCAAATAATATCTAATTATGTCTAACAATAAATAATTTGTACCTGTCATGGCTTTAAATCTTTTCCCCTCTCAGCTCTGCCCCACTTAAAAGTCAAGGAGCCTGCTTTGGGGAATGGAGGAGTGCTCTTTCTCCCCATACTTTGTCTCCACCTAATTGCTGCTATTTATTGTGTGCCCAAGTCGAGAGAGAGAAAGTAAGGGGGTAAAACAGTCTGGCTTGACTGGGAGGTTATGTGTCCTATGTGCCTGACAGATATTTCATAGGTAAATTCCTGCTGTCACCTAGAGACCTTGGTGGATACATATATATTCTGGGTGGAACCCTACAACTCCCTCCCCAGCCCACATGGCACACTCCTCACTTATCTGTGCCAAGTCTCCTAGCTTCTTAAAAATGGTCCTATTGGACAAGACCGAAGACCCAACCCCACAGTTCCCTCTTTCCTGCAAGGAAAGAGGATACACACATGCATCACTTGCCAGAGGAAATTCTGGAAATGGAGACCAATGTCAAAGCAGCAGCAATCTCTTGACCCCACCACTGAAAGAGTTTGTGAGCTTTTACTTGCCCTGTACATTTCCAGGGTAGGGATCAGACTCCAAACTCATCATTCCTCAGCTGTAGGAGGGCAAAATCCTGCCCCTCCCTAAAGAAGGGGTTAGATTCTGACAGACCCACTGTACACTGAGAAACAAATTTTCTGAAAAACAATCTTGTACCAATCTGCTCCTATCCCATCCTTTTTACTTAAGACTTGAACTTCTAGTATGCTATAAATGCTGCCAGCACTAGTTCAATCATTCCTTCATCTATTCTCCTAGAAATAATATTTACTTCTCTTTTCCTTTAAACCCCAACAACTCCTCGCCATTCTCACTTTCAACCAACAAATTTGCTTCCTGTTTCACTGAAAAAATTCAAACAACCAGAAAAGAATTTGTGGGGACTGATCTTAATTTACTGACCCAGAAACTCAGGGAGAAGGCTAGAAATCTGCACAATAATGAGGCTTGTAAGGTGATTCTAATGAACTCTAAAGTTTGAGAACCACTGCCTTTCATATTCTAGCAGTAATACCCTTCTAATTCAATCTATCTCCTACTACTCTTGTCCTTCCTTCAATCAGTTTTAGCCACACAGGTTTCCAGTTCCTTAATCAGTGAGCAAGCTATTATTCCTTAATGAAATACACATTATTTCTCTATTAGTATGGACTCTCAACAAAAGACATTGAAGCCCAAGAATGGACTTGAACAAGTTTGTCCTGAAGCTGATGACAGAGAAGGCAGGACCCAGATCAGGCTTAGGAGAGTCCTGCTTTTGGAATCAGGATGACTGATGTGATGACACTAGGGCCTGAGTCAGATTCAGAGAGATGTTTATTCAGGTGGCTGCAATCAGAATAGGCAAAGGGAGTATCCAAATTATAAGGCAGACCTCAGCTGGCCTGCTGAGTTTAATGAGAAAACATAGGAAATACTCCAGAGCTATGAATGTTAGTAACATTTGGGAAAAAAGGCAAATGTGGAGCTAGCTATGAAAGATGATTGTGTATCCTACAGTGAGATACTTTTGATACTCAAAACACATTTATTAATCTTTATGGATTGCCTCCCACTTGGTTATTACAGGAAGCTCCTACTTCATGCCACAATAGTCTCCCAATAGGTTCCATGAAACTGGAGAGGACTGTCAGAGCATTTTATGTTGGCTGCCTGGCAACCAGCTCCACTCACCAGCTCACATTACCCCTAACATGGAAGTCTTTCTAGTAGGTTGTATAAATTCTGCTCTTTTGAAATAAATGCCATCCTGCCCTCTCCCTCCCTTTCTTTGTCCATAGATCTTCTGGAGCATCTCCTCCCTTCAAGAAGTTGGTACCTGCTCTACTGTCAACTTTACTATCATTCTGGAGAAATTCAAATCTACACAGACAACCCCCTCCCCATAATACCTGACCCTCAGTTCATTATCCAATCTCCAGGCAACCTCCCTTTCACGCCTCTTAGGCACTTACCCCAGTGGACCCACCCTAGACTACCCTCACCTGAAGCTGCTCTGCTTCTAAAATTAATAATTCAGGCTTCTGATTTCTGAAAGTTTCCCATCTTCCCAGGTCACTTGTCTGATTATCGTACAACTTGCCATACAAAAACCTACTCTGATCTCCACTCTCTTACCTGTTCTACAAAACTCCACAATTCAGCACAGCCATCACTTACATGTGATAGCCTAAAACTCCTTTGCTCATTATCCGTTCATTTCAGTTGCATGACATCAACTCTGGATGATCCCATAATACTCACCTCTTTCACAGTTATACCCAGATTCCTGAGTAGATAAGGACAACCACATCATTAGATTGACTGGTAAAACTATAAATTCAAGAATATGACAAATTCAAACTGCCCTCACCATTGTGCAGCAATCGTCACTCAATTGCAATCTGACTTCTCTCTCATTTTAATAGACCTCTCAACAGCATATGATAGTTGACAATGTGCCCATTCCTCCTGTATAAAAAAACTACTTTTCTGATTTTACTCCTCTATGGTTCAACCTTCTCATCTTGTCACCTTTACTGGTTAATTTTCCTTTGTCCATCTATTAAATGCACTTCAGAATTCAATTCTGAGCCACTTTCTCTTTTTTTTTTCCTATCATTAATACTTTATCTATTCCATCAACTTTACCACCTCTAGGTTACATCCCCAAATCCCTAGCACAATTTCACCCATGTCTCATACTTTTCTTTCCTTTCTTTTTCTTTTTTTGAGACAGGTCTCACTATGTTGCTTAGGCTAGTTTCAAACTCTTGGACTCAAATGAGCAAACACAACCCAGTTCTAGCTATTGCTTAAGCCTTGCAGTAGTTAGGACTATAGGCATGCACCATTACCCCTAGCTTGTCTCACTTTCAAATGACATCTGATGAGCACCTGAACACTTTAACAGGTATCATCAGCCCACCCAGTTGCTCAAGCCAGAAACCTGGAACTTACTGCAGATTCCATTCTCTCAACCACCCTTGACATCCCACCAATTCTATCTAATGAAGTTCTCCTACTTCTTTCATCACTAGTCCACAACACTTTGATCTTATGCTACAAACCTAGACTTTTACAATACTGCTACTCTCATCAATCTCAACTCGAATAGATCTTGTCATTTCTTAGCCTTCCCTAGGTAAATCAGTACATTGGCTATACCTCAGGTGATAAGCTGTGGAAACACAAAACTAAATATGGCTCAGAAGACTGAAGCCTAATCAACAGAGTAACTACAACACAGTATTTAAATGCTAACTCTTTGTGTAGTACTTTGAGAACACAGATGAAAAATAATTCTGCTTTGGGAGTGGGGGAATATGAAACGACTATATTTGGGATGACAAACTTTCCTAAAGTCAGTAGAGAACAAAACATGCAAAGGCATTGTGTTACTTATGTTGAATGGTTCACAGCTCATCCAAATGGCTCAGAGCCCTGTTACCTATGTTTTTCTAGTAGGCACTCTCAGATTTGTTCTTAGACAGAAGAGGCTATATCTTTACACCTGAGTCCAAGGCAGCTACCTTCTAGGGGAGGCTTAGGATCTGTCATTCTAACTCAAATTTCCCTAGCACTAGACTTGCTTGCCTATAGCCTCTGAGGACATGCTGATCTGGGCCCACTACAAGGCAAAAACAATGGACAGACGATTTGACCATAAGCAGCACAATTGCCTATACCAGTGTGACATCAACTAGCTGTGCATGAATAGAAACTCAACTCCTGGACTACCTCTTTCCAAGGACAGTTCAAAATACACTGAATCTCTAAGCATCCCATGAAATGAGTCTCTTGAAAGTCTTAACCTTAAGTCTCCCAGAGTCTTTCTCAGTCAATAAATCTATTCACTTCAGCCTTCTACCAGATCCAAGAAAGGTCTTCAAAGAACAATAAGACAACATATAATAGAGTTAGTTTATTGAGCACCTTCTATGTTTCCAGTCCTGGCTATAGACCTCCTCAGTTAACCCAGACAACAATGCTGTAAGACAGAAATTTTAGCATTTTCCAAGAGAGAAATGTGATAATCAGAGACTACATGACTTCCAGCTGTAAATAGTAGGCCAAGATTGTAATTGCCATGACAGACAGGCTACCTGTCTGCAGTCTTGAAGGCCTTGGCAGACTAAAGCTGAGAGGACAGAAGTGAGCAGAGGCTGGTCAGTACAGATCAGAAAAGAGCACAGTGGAGAGATCAGGACAAAAAGCCCAAGTGCCTTCTGAGATGGAAAGAAGAGCCAAATCCAGAGAACCTTCAATTCCAAACCAACTAGTTTTCATGAGGTCTAAAGATCTATATTCCTCAGATATCTTCCTTTTCTCACAGCAAATTTCTTATTCTTTAGCTTGCCCAAGGGATGTTATGTTCCTTGTAACTGAGAAGACTTCACTTAGAGCTGTGACAGGGGTTTTATCATACTTTGTTCTTGGGACAGAGGGAAGGCAATACTAGGTCGTGGCTCACAGCTTGGCTGGATTCAGTCTTGAGAGTTCTGAACCTGCCTCCCCTTTCAGGGAGTGTCCAGAGGTCACCTGCGCTTGTAGAGGCATGGTTGAAGTTTCAGGCCTAAAAGTTGAGCCTTGGGCCCTACCCGAGGGGGCCCAGTCTTTTCAAAATCAAACAAGAAGAAGTGACTGTTCCTCAGGTCCTAGGGGAAGAAAAGACCCAGTGAGCTCCAAATGCACACAACTCTTCAAAACACCTCCCTCTAAATCCTTCCGCTAATAAGACAGCTTCATAGGGCTTCCTGAGAGTTGTGCCTCTAGAGAGAAAAATGTCTATTTCACATGTCTATGCCTCCTTCCTGAACACTACACATAAGACAAAAATAGAAACAGACTTCTTGAGGTTCTCACCTTGGAGATGACCTTGAAGCCCAGTTTGGTCACAGCCCCCAGAAAGGCCCGAACATCCTCAAAGCGGCTGCTAACCTCAGCCACTTTCAGAAGACCCCTGAGAAGAGGAGGAAGTTCTGTGTAAATGTGCAGATACATGCATACACATATATATGTATCTAAATCCTAGGGGCTCCTACCCTGGCTTCAATACCCGATTTGCCTCCTCCAGGAAGTCCCTGATGTTGGTTCCCATCAGTGAAAGGCAAAATACAGCCACATCCACAGATTTATCCTCCAGAGGCACCTGTGGAGAGTAGGAATATTGAATGAAGCATATAGTGCTTGAAAGAGACATTCAGTACTGGATTGGATACTAGAATGGGGGGAAGAGGGATTAAAGAGTATAGGCCAGATACATACAGGGGTTTACCTGGGCCATGTCACACACAGTGACCCTGGGATCTAGAGAGGCCAAGTCAAAGCAGTGCACAGGGTTCCGGATACTTGAAGCCAGACGGCAATCTCCACATCCAAAGTCAGCCACCACTAGGGATGCAGGCCTGGGAATGGAAGAGAACGGTCACACATTGGTCTGATCTGAGCCCTTGAATGACCCAAACCATTTCTCAAAGAGCCCACCCTCACCGCTGGCGAAGATCCCTGGCAATGCGGTCTACTGGCTGCAGTGGCCACTTCTTCACTTGGCTTTGGAAGCCACGATGGTAGAGAAAGAAAGCCTCAGGGTCTTCCTGAAAGAGACGCTGTGCAGCACTGCTGGGCCCCGAGTACAGCTGTTCATTGAGGTAGCGAAATCGGGCGCCATCCAGCCGCTGGGCCATGCGGGCTCGTAGGGCTCCTGCCCGAGTCTCTTGGCTGTTTGGCGTGGGGGCAGGAGGCACCTCTGTGTCCTCTGTGGAGTCCTTGGCAGGAAGCTTGTCTGGTGCTGGAGGTGGACGAAATTTGTTCTTGTGTTTCCGCTTATTCTTTTGCCGATTCCGCCACTGCTTGCGGCTCAAGGTACGCGGGTGTTTAGGAGAAGGAGACCCAAGGCTTGGCTTGGGCAGGTTATTTGTAGCACTACTCTTCCAGGCTTCGTGGTCTGCAGGGAGGGAGAAAGGAAGGTATTATTTGAGGCAAGGTCCCCTAAATTCTGGCCATAGTCTTGAAGACAGACTGGCCTGGATAAAAGTACTCATTGCCTATGGTGGATATCCTCTGTACAATCAGCTGAATGATCCCTCCACTACATGTACATATACACATCCAATCTACCTGTTTGGTCAACACTGTCCAGGTGTTGGGTTGGGTTTGAAGAAGTCTGTTTTTGGTGTTTCCTCTTTCTCTTCTCTTCAGCAGAATCTTTGTCAAAAACTTCTTTGTGACACTTCTTCCTTTCTAATTCCTTGTCCTCAGAATCACTGCAAGGTGGGCCCTGTTTTGGACGTTTTTTCTTCCTTTTTTCCCCTCCTTTAGCAGAGGAATTGGCAAACAAGGCCTTTGGCAGTTGTTTCTTCTGTTCTACAACTTCCTCCTCCTCATAGTCACTGCCAGGTGGGCTACCAGGGGGTTGCTGGGAAAGAGATGCTGCTTCTAGGGTCCGTAATGTGGCCAAAAGCTGGCGGCGCTTGGAACCCTGGAAGAAAACAAAGGATGAGAATAGGGTGAGAATGGGTGAGGACAAGAAAGGAGAGATAGGGACCTGGTTCAGATATTGGCAGAGGCATCTGGATTTTCCAAGTCAACTTCAACTGTAGTGAAGTTTTCCAGATCCAGAACTTTCATGTCACCACCCCAACCTCTGGAAGGCCAGAGAGCCGAAAAACCTCCTACCCTATTTTGTTCAATGTGTAAATGATTAGTAATTGAGGTTCCCCAGAGGAGTGTGCTAAGGCCACAAGCAAGGGAACCAAAGTGAGACCATTCCAGTCCCTCGTTTCAGGCTTTTACCTCCAGCTGATACCTTTAGAAGTAGGGAGGTTTCTTCAACACAGGAGGAACAGGATCACATGTAGTAAATGTGATAGTTGCAGTATACAGAACAACCTGAGAGGAAGAAGCTACACAGAGAGACCAGTGGCCTGGATTAGGCTGATGAGCTGTGGGGATGAAAACAAAGTAGGCAGTCCATGTTGGAGACTGACTGAAGGATAGAAAAAGCCTATGAAGTACAGCAGTCCTCACATCTACTGAGCCTGAAAAGAAAAGGTCTACTGTTAAAGGAAAAGGGAAGCTGATTCAGGATTAAAAGTCCTAATGAGTGCTCCTAGGCTAAGTATTTACCTTGAAGGTTCTCAATCAACCCCACACCCCCTTGAATAGCAATACTGACAACTCTTCCCCGTCACCCACTCTTACTCTCTCCACTCAATTATCTATTCTCCACACTGCAACCAATAACCTTTTCAAGGCTGGGGATGTAGCTCAGTGGTAGTGTGCTTGCCCAAAATGCCCAAGGTCCTGGATTATTCCCAAAACCTCGAGAGAGATGGAAGAGAATGGAGAGGGAAGAGGAAGGGAGGAAGATAACTCCTTTTCAAAATTCAAATCTGAAAAAAAATCACGCCCCTGCCAAACACACTTCATTGACTTCTGTAGCCTCAACATATGCAAAACTTCTACTTCTTCAACAGCACCCCCTTTCATTTACTCGGTGTTCCAATCCATGGATTTTAACAAAACAGCAAATGCTCCTTGCCCCTTTCCTGTCCAAGGAACCTCCTTCTCTTCAACAAATTCTACTCAACCAACTACTTCGGATCCAGATCTTCAGATCACCTACTGTGCTGTAAATACCCGCTCTCCCAAACGTACAGGCAAGGCATGCCCCATCACCGCGATCCATTAGGGTCTGATTCGCGGCCTGATGCAATCCCACTACCGCTATGGAGTCCCTTACCTTGATTTGCGAGGCTGCCGCTGGCCGAGTCTGTGGGGTTACCAGCCGAAGGCCTGCGGCTACTGGGGCCGCCCCGGCCCATTCAGGCTCCTCGAACATGTGGGCTGCGAGGGCAGAGTGGCAAAGCCCACCCTACTCTCCACGTGCATAGAGCGTCTCGGAAGTCAAAACGTCCAGACGCCCCAGGACACAGCCGGAAACCAAAGAGTAAGGGCAGCGGCTGCTAGAGCGGCCTGAGTGACGCAGAAACCATCGAGTGTAGGCTCTCGTGGGCTAGAAGGGCAAGGGAGGTTATAGGACGGGAGGGAAGGCCGCCCGCGGTGGCCGTAGAGGGCCAGGGTGGGGCGGGGCCGGGCGGCGGGCGCGGCCGGACGGGAGTTCCCCGAAGAAGGCGCCTCCAGCCCGAGACCCGGTGAGTGCGGGAGGACCGGCGCCCGCTGACCAAGACTGAGGCCCTGCCAACCCGTTACTCCTCACTCAGCCTGAGTTCTGAGTAGGGAACCAGAGCGATCCTCGGGAAGGACCCCCATCCGGTCTCCCAGGGTAAACGGAGCCAGAGCCACTTCCCCATCCCCCACCCCCCACCCCCCACTCAGAGCGCTGTTCGAGGGTAGGGTCTCCGCGCCTGGTGTGCGACTTGGATTCTGGAGATAGCCTCGTGATCACTCCTACCCCTCCTGGACCTTCCTTTCCCTCGCGCCCAGGGGATTATCCACTCTCCCTGAACTCCTTCACAGACCACCATTAGCCAGGGCACAACGCCCAGCCCCCTCCTCAGCACCAACACTTTTCCCCCCTCTAGCGGATTAAGCTCGGGCTCATCCCCCTTCCCTGGGAACCCCCACAGTCCCCAGGCTTCCCCCTCGCCGGGACGCTGCTATGGACGACATTTTCACTCAGTGCCGGGAGGGCAACGCGGTTGCCGTGCGCCTGTGGCTGGACAACACGGAGAACGATCTCAACCAGGGGTGAGCTGAAGCGGTTGGAAGTCTCTTTCTCCACTACGTGGGGTGCTCACATCCAGTGGGGGACTGCTGACTTAGCCATCCAGTGTAATGAGCGCTAAGCACAGCCTGTTGTGGGCAAAGGGTCTCCACAGAGGAAGCAGTGTTTGCGCCGAATCTTCACTGTTAAGTTTCACAAGCAGAGGCTGCAAAGAGCTTCACAGCCTTAATGAACTACATGGGCAAACGTTAGGAGGCAAGACAGCACAGAATGCCAGGATATTGTCTGGAGTTACATGTTGCTGGAGGATACAAGAGCTCTGTGGGATGGAGCATTGGGTATAAGTGATAAAGAACAAGAGAAAGGGCTGGAGAGACCTGCAGGAGTCATGCTTCTATTCTAAGAGCTTGGTTTTAAGGTTGTGTAGTGATAAGATGTTCCATGAGTATCATCTTAGATGCTTTGTGAAAAGCATGCAATTTCCTAGTTCATCCTAGAAGTGATGTTTTGGATCACATTTGGGAAGGTGAAAAATGAGATGTGATCAGCTTCCAGAAATATTAAGGATGAAAAATTAATGGGCTTGGGGTGGAAAATGAAGGATGGCTTTGACTTGGGCTGGGCACTTGGACAGATCTAGTGGTTGCTTTTACTGAGATGGAGAAAACTGAAGGTTGAGGCTTTCTGTTCTGTACATATTAAACTTAAGGTGATTGTACAGCAACTTGGAAATGTTAAGTAGGTTTACATAGATTTGGAGTTCAGGAGAGAGATCTGACTTTTAAGCAGATTGGAGATACAGTAGCATGTACATGATAGTGAAGATAGTCTCAGTAGGAGATGAAAAGCCTGGCCGACTGAAAAGATACAATCAGAAGTTGAAGAAATAGAAAATAAAGGTTAGAGAATACATGTATTAACAGAGAGGGAATAGTGAATAATAGTATAGGCTACTGAGAAGTCAAAGAACCTAAACGTTTTGAAGTTACTGTTGCATTTACAATTAGAATATATTTTATGATCTCTGAGTGCTGTTTCAGATGATTAATTGGTGAAGAAATCAAACTACATAGGGTTCCTTCAATTGAGGAACTGTACTGAATACCTCCTGTGGTGGGTGCTAGTCCCACAACCATAGATAATCTTTATCCTCAAGGTGGTGACTTGGGCAGGTGGAAAGTGAATGGGAGGTGAGGAAATAAGAGAAAATAAATGTGGATTAGTTTTCAATGTTGCCTGACGCAAGAAACCAAGACAAGCAGTAGTGTTGGCAATTCAGGATAGTGGATTTTAATTTTTTAGCTTTTTTTTTTTTTTTTTTTTTTTTTAAAGTGCGGGAGTGATTACTCTTTAGGTTTGAGAGATCACGATCATCTATCATCTTAGTCCAGGCTGCACTGGTTCCAATAGTCTTATGCTGTTTTTCTTTAATAATTTGCAAAATCACTAGTTTCATTTCCCATATAATTCATAAAGGGTACTCTGATAAGAGAGTGGGTACAGTAATTATTCTGTTCTGAGGAAATATAGAGGTTTAGGCAGAGATGCCCAGTGTGACAGAAATATTTGAAGATTCCTCACTGCCAAAAGGTGAAGAGGTAGCATTGGTGATATCGGAAGATTTCATTGCTGGTTTGAAGTACTAGAGTATGGGAGCCCAATCTGTCTATATGCTGGATATGAGGTGGTGGTTAATTCCCTGCAGGCCTGCTTGAGATAATAGTCCAGACTTTGAAGTAACAAGCAGCCTGACATTGGACAGCACCCTTTTGCCCATACCTATGCCGTCAAATTTGGGGTCACAGACTGCTGGAAGCTGATAAGGGTATAAATTGAAGGTTTGGGAGGCAAAGCGGGGGGGGGGGGGGTGAGGGTGAAGCTTCCGGGGATACCCACCTCCTGGGAAAACTTTGGCTATTTGTGAGTAGAAGAGGACAGACTGTGGAAGGGAAATTATTTCGTTAAAAGCAATCCCCCTGCCCCCCCCTCCCCCCCCCCCCCCCCCCCCCCCCCCACACACACTCTTCAACTCGTTCGGGCACCTGGGTGGCCAGACCCTTGATCTGTTCCAGGCTCCCTTCTAGAGCCCCCGCAGGAAGTGACCACAGCAGTAAGGCATCCGGAGGCTGTGGCCAGGGCTTGGGACCGCCCCCTGCTCCGCCCCTCAGATCAAAAGCCCAGGACAAGAGGGAATTTCCTTTTATGGCTCCAAGCTGTCAGGCCGACCTAGCTCCCACCCAATTGTTTTGCTTGTACACTTCTTTTACTTTATAAAACATATGCCCTGGGAAAAGAAAAAAACAGGGATGGTTTTCACTCTAAACAACCATTCTCATACTTTCTGTCCATTACTGCTAAGTAGGAGAATCATGTTTTGTGTGGTATTTTCTCATAGTAATCAAAAGCATTTCCCCTTTTCTTTATAAATCCCTCCAAGACATCATTTTTAATTCCATTCCTTTTTAGATATTAGTTTCAATATCAGAGTTAAACAGTGTTGTTTCCTTTCCCATGAATTGTGGTCTGCCTTCTCTAACAGTACCTCTCCCCATTTTAACATACCCAGAGTATTATTACCTAATGAAAGAGGACCTGCCAGGAAAGAAAAGGTGTGGAAGATGATGGCAAAGATAACAAATCCTATTATAGAGAAGTTAAGTTTTCTAGATGGTTGGTTGGGTGTCAAGCTCAGGGGAAAGTGAACTGGACAATTGGAAGTTGCTGGCATGAATGATAAGTCCTAGAGAAGGGAGCCTTCCCAGAGAGTGTACAGAATTACCATCCGTTTTTCATGAATCAAAGCTTTTTCCCAGACCACCTTCAGCTCAGTGACTCTTGCCCTTTTTCTAAGGGATGATCATGGCTTTTCTCCCTTGCACTGGGCCTGCCGAGAAGGCCGCTCTGCAGTGGTTGAGATGCTGATCATGAGGGGGGCACGGATCAATGTGATGAACCGTGGGGACGACACACCCCTGCATCTGGCAGCTAGTCACGGACATCGTGATATTGTACAAAAGGTATGCACAAAGCCCTCCATCACCCATATCACAGACATACCATGAGGTCAGCAGGCACTTGTAATCTAAGGTGCCTTCCCATTTTCCATGCTGGAACACATTTGGGACTGACTGCCTTCTATCTCTTCTTTTTGTCTGGCCATGGGGCCCAGCTGTTGCAGTATAAGGCCGACATCAATGCAGTGAATGAGCATGGGAATGTGCCTCTGCACTATGCCTGTTTTTGGGGCCAGGATCAAGTGGCAGAGGTGAGTACTCAGGCCCCAAGTCCTGGGACGGGTAAGAAGCAAAGTGGGCCTAAAACCTCAACCTATCCTATCGGTACTATCATGTGACACTCAAAAGGATCGTTGACTGCCAGGGAAGTAGCAGGGGTACTCATCATAACCACCTTTTCATTCCAGGATCTGGTGGCTAATGGAGCCCTTGTCAGCATCTGTAACAAGTATGGCGAGATGCCTGTAGACAAAGCCAAGGCACCCTTGAGAGAGCTTCTCCGAGGTCCATCCCTTACCCCTAGTTTGGTTCTCTTGTCTTGTCCTTCCCTGCCTGTGTCCTTCCTCTTTACCACAACTCAGGCTGTTTTTCTTCCCCAGAACGGGCAGAGAAGATGGGTCAGAATCTCAACCGTATTCCATACAAGGACACATTCTGGAAGGGGACCACCCGTACTCGGCCCCGTGAGTCACTGTTGTGGGGGGAGGGGTTGAAATAGTGTTATCCTGGGCTCCTTGGGCTGGATTAGGGCAAAGCTGGGTGCCTGACCTGCCCATATTCTTAGGAAACGGGACCCTGAACAAACACTCGGGCATTGACTTTAAACAGCTCAACTTTCTGGCGAAGCTCAATGAGAATCACTCTGGAGAGGTGACTCTTCCCCTTCTTGTCCCTCCCTTCCAAAACCCCCACAAATTACCTGCTTTGCACCTGCTTTTAAGATTTCCCCCCAGTTAATGGACAAAGAAGTGGTGGCTTTAAAGCCTCCTAACCTGTACCTGTCCTTCAGCTATGGAAGGGCCGCTGGCAGGGAAATGACATTGTCGTGAAGGTGCTGAAGGTTCGAGACTGGAGTACAAGGAAAAGCAGGGACTTCAATGAGGAGTGTCCCCGGCTCAGGTGGGGCAAGGTCTAAACTGGAAGTTGCTGGTTCCGAGGAACTCTGAATGGTACAGAAAGGGGAGATCTTTTATCATAATTCTCAGCCAGGGACAATCTTTCCCTCTCCCAGGATTTTCTCACACCCGAACGTGCTCCCAGTGTTAGGTGCCTGCCAGTCTCCACCTGCTCCTCACCCTACACTCATCACACACTGGATGCCGTATGGATCCCTCTACAATGTACTACATGAAGGCACCAGTGAGTAGGAATGCTGGACTTGTCAGGGAGGGCCTGGGAGAAGGGGTACACGTCTTCTTCAAATTGTTTTGACTCTTGCCTCCCCTTAGATTTTGTCGTGGATCAGAGCCAAGCTGTGAAGTTTGCTTTAGATATGGCAAGAGGCATGGCTTTCCTGCACACACTAGAGCCCCTCATCCCACGACATGCACTCAACAGTCGAAGTGTAATGGTGAGGCCATCAAGTTCATTACTGGCCCAGGCCCCAAAAGCCTTTGCCTATCTAAAATGGGACTCACCTGCTTCCACGTATCTTCTTTCTCAGATTGACGAGGACATGACTGCCCGAATCAGCATGGCCGATGTCAAGTTTTCTTTCCAATGCCCTGGGCGCATGTATGCACCTGCCTGGGTGGCCCCTGAAGGTGGGTGAGGGCATCACGTTGGGAGGTAGAGGCGGACCAGCTCAATAATAGAGGGGGCAGAGACAGGATAGGCTAGACAGGTGAAACAAAAAATGGCTATTCCCCCAGCTCTGCAGAAGAAGCCTGAAGACACAAACAGACGTTCAGCAGACATGTGGAGTTTTGCAGTACTTCTATGGGAACTGGTGACACGAGAGGTACCTTTTGCTGACCTCTCCAATATGGAGATTGGAATGAAGGTGAGTGTAGACTGTATATACTTGTGTTGCAAAGGTGGTGATGATCATTGTAGTGAGCCTAGGCTCTTCCCAAATTTGTTCAGTCATTCTGTTCAAGAACCAGAGGCCTCTGCTCACATGATGGACTCAAATTCTGAGACTCACCTTGTTTTTCCTTCTATTTGCAGGTGGCACTAGAAGGCCTTAGGCCTACCATTCCACCAGGTATTTCCCCCCATGTGTGTAAGCTCATGAAGATTTGCATGAATGAAGACCCTGCCAAGCGGCCCAAGTTTGACATGATTGTGCCTATTCTGGAAAAGATGCAGGACAAATAGGACTGGAAGGTCCCTGCCTGAACTCCAGAGGTGTCAAGACATGGTTGGGGGGAGTACACCTCCCCAGAGAAGCAGGCCTCTGGTTGCCTCCCCTGCCTCCAGTCATGGTACTACCCCAGATATGGGGCCCAACCCCTGCTCCCATCCCTACCACTGTGGCCCCAAAAGGGGTTGAGCTCAGAGCTTTGTCACTTGCCACAAGGTGTCTCCCAGCATGGGAGGGATCAGCCCCGCCTGTCACAATAAAGTTTATTATGAAAACAGGCTGGTGTGGGGACATGGGAACAGACAAGTACATTGGGTTGGGTGGCTCAGGTGAAATAGTGCGGCTTCTTCACATTGATGCCATATTCGCTGAGGGCAGGGGTCAAGTCCTCCATGGTTAGAGTGTACTTGCGGTCCTGAGGGAAGAGGGAAGAGTACCAGCTGAGCACAGGAATCCCAGATTCCAATCCCATGTGGGTGACCCTGAGTATGACTTATACCTCCCCTAGGATGCAGTTCCCCAAAGGGGTTTGCTGGATAAATTAAGCCTCTACTGTTGTGGAGAGTAGTTACTGACTCAGTGAGCTTCCCTTCACACCTTGCTTTTGCTCCGGGAGCTGCCAGAGGCTGTGCCCTTCATTTTGCAGTGCTGTAGGGCATCGTTGGCAATATCTGAGATGAATTTCTGGGCAGCTAGGGAGATGAGCCGAATTCTAAAGAGAAAAAAACTGGTATGAGGAGATGGACAACAAACCATACAAAGCACCCAAAGCTCTGTCCTGCGCTGGGTTTACTCACATGCGTGGATCTGAGGCCTCAAAGCCAGCCCGGTTCAGGTAATAACCAGTCACTGCATCTGGGATCTGAGAAATCAATTAGACAACTGTCAGTGTTAGCCCTGTGCCCTGATGGGCTAAGTGGGAAGAGGGTAAGGGAAAAGATTTGGTCTTCATATCAGATGGAAGCTCGTAGTTTGGGTGGACAGAGGGAATAAACAATAGAAGACGCTGGAAAGCACGCAGGTGTAGCTGAAAATTGTTATGACAGTGGGCCTAATAGCCGTGTTCAGGCAGGAAGCCCACCGTAGGCGTGTAATCCTCCAGCTGCATCAAGAAGTCCACGAGAGGCGTGCTGGACACCACCGGCTTTACGTCTCCGTTGGCCGCGCTCGGCAGTACGTAAACCCCGTTAGACATAGCCCCCTCCGGGGGCGCCGCGCCGCCCGCTGACACCGGAGCTGGAGGAGAACCAGCAAACTGAGAATCAGAGGTGGGGCGCAGGGTCCCAGCTAGGTCTGCCTGGTACCCTCTGCCCTCACCCGCCGCTGGGCCCAGTCCAAGGCGTTTCCCTCACCCTCACCCGTCCCGGCCCTCACCCGCCCCGCGCCGCTCGGCCGGCTCCCCGGCCCGCGCCGCCACAGGTCCCGTGACCCCAGCCGCGGCTCCAGCCCCAGGCCCCCCTGCAGTTCCCGCGGGGCTGGCCTTGTTCTCCGCGGCGGTGCTGACGGGCAGCGCAGCGGGAGCCGAGACCGGGGGCGTCGGGCCCGGGGCCGAGGCAGCGGAGGCTGGCGCCGCCTCGGGGTCCGCGCCGGAGCCGCTGCAGCTCATCGGGCCGGTGGGAGAGGCGGCGAACAGAGGCGCTTCCGCTTCCGCTCACGCTACGCACACCCGGGGTGACGTCACACGTTCCGCGGGTCGCCCCGCCTGTCACCGTGTCAGTTCTTCCGTGGGTCCCACCTCCTCCCATGGCTTGTGGGCGGGTTAGGTAAATGACCCAAGGGTAAAAAAACAGTGGGGAGCTTCGCTGCTGTAGACATTCCACCTTCCAACCCGCAACACTCCACGGCAGTTCTGCCCGGATGGGAGACACTGTATATCCTGGATACAGTGCGGTTCTGGGACACTTCATTCAGATGGACGCTTAGACTTTGCTTTGGGGCCGTCGGTCCGACCCTCCTTGACTACGAGCTGCTTGGCAATCTGCATACTAGTAGTTACCTTATTCAGCCTTTTAAGTGTCGTAATGGAGTTAGAAAGCTCCCCGCCCCGCCAATTGCTCTGAGAGACAAAAGCAGCATGTCGCGCTGCTGTAGATGGAAAGGGGAGATATTTCAGCCTAAGGAGATAACAGACAAATCACAACGAGTGTAAACGTGAGGTTGTCAACAACATTTATTTAATTCTTATTTGTCAACTCTTGAGCTAGAGCCTGGAAATACACGTTAAATAGGACAAAATTCTAGTCCTCTAGGCACCAACGGTCTTGGAAACTAACACACTGGCAATTTCAATACTCTGCTGTAGTTAACAATGCTAGAGGTAGACACAGGTGAGCAGTGCAAGGGAGGAAGAGAACATATGCTACCCACCTCCAGGTGCCAGGCACTCTATCAACATGATTCCACTTAATTTTATTCCCTGATTATGAAAGGCAGGTAGTGATATCCCCACTTACATGAGGAAACGGTCTCAGATAAATTTACTTGTCCAAGTTTCTCTCCTACAAAACCAAGATTCAACCAGGTTTGGTTTTGAAAGTTTATGATTTTTTCTGCCATACCAAAATCAGCTAGCCTCGGGGAATTAGAAAGTGATTTCTGAGCTGAGTCTTGAAAGAATCATGTAAATCATGGAGGCAGTTGTATCAGGGGGTGGTGTTCTGGGCACTGGAGAGCTTCAGCTAGGGTAAGAGTTTCTTGGCCCTTGGGGCAGATAGAGGAACAATGATTTGCTACTCAGGATCAAATTTTTTCCAATCAAGCCAGAAACCTATGTCCCTTGACTCTCATTTTCTTCACTGCCCACCGCCCACTACCTTAACATCATCTAGTAATCTTCAAAGCATTTCTATCAGGCAAATGGCTTCATGGGATTTGTATTTCACTCTAGAAGGTGGAATAGGGATGTAAAAAAGTAAGGACACTATTTTTACAAGGGTTTTCTGTAATTTAGAGGAGAAAGAATATGGCTTCAAGCTAATATAGTAGCAGTGGGGATGGAAAGAGAAAAATAAATTCAGATGTTCTTAAGAAATATAATTGGAAGGACTTTTGCATCGATAAAGATATATTTAAGAGGTAATATCAGTAGGACTTGTTGATTTAAGGTAGCTGGGGGATGAAGAAAATGAGAGTCAAGGGACATGGGTTTCTGGCTTGATTGGAAAAAGTATAGTATCATTTACCAAGAAGAAACAAAAGATGGAATAGTTTGAGGTTGCGTGAAAGGAGATGAAGTTTCAAGTATTGCATATCTTACATTTGAGTATCAATCATTACTGGATAGAAAATCTTATTTAGTAAGATGGGGATAGCTATAGATGCTAGTAATTTGTTCCAGGAGACAATGATTAAAATGATAAGAGCCAAAGACTAAGAATGGAGCAATGAAGAACACCAGTATTCCAAGAGGAAGCAGAGCAGGTGAAGCTGTGAAGGAGGAAGACAAGAGTGGTAAGAGAAGTTATGCACTAGAAGTTAAAGGGAATAAGTGGGCAACTATAATGGAAAAACCATCAAGGAAAGATTGAGTAGTTTGCACTGGATGAAGCAGCAAATAGGCCATTGTTTCTTAGCATCAGGGGAGGAAAGAATAAAAGATGAGAGCAGAGGTCTTATTGCAGTGAATTGAGGAGCAAACATGAAGTGGTGGTCATCAGATCTGAGCCTGCTGTAACCAGTAATGACAGACCACGTCCTCACCCTGTATTCACATCTCTGGTTGAAAAGAGGAAGAGGTGAAGGGAAGGGCAGACAAAAATTTCTGGTTATATCATCTTGTTGAGGAATCCCGAGGCAGGAGTAAGGACACCTGAATATGAAGGTGCAGGGTAGGGTGGGGAGTGAAGCCAAGCTGACACAGCATTTCAGAGTTAGGGAGATGAGCTGTCTGCAATTTTTGAGGATTCAGTAGGGCTTCCAAAAAGGCAGAATAAGGAACTGATTCACCAATCACAGGACAGAAGACAAGTCAGCTTTCCTGGCAGGAAAGAGTCAAGGATTGAGTAATGTCTTCAGTAAAGCTGGAAAGTTGGGTGTTCCCCAGCCTGTCACAGGATCCCAGCCAGGGCCAGAGCAGAAACCCTGACCTTCCACTTCTTCATTCAGACAGGACTCATGGCAGCCGTGGGTTACCTAGGGAGGAAGTGGGCATTAGATCTGGGTCTGCTGGTACAAGTACCGACAGACTGAACCTCCTTACCCTGTGTTCAGATATCACCAACTCACAATTACCCCCAAGTTCATCTTAGCCAATCCCATACTCATATGACATCTATATACCCTTCCCATCCACACTCACATCGAAGAGTCCTGCTCCACGCTGCTGATAGAGCCTTGGGTTGAGAAAGCCAAGAGGGGGGTGGCCACTAAGGATTCTGTGTTCATTTATCAAGGATATGAGTCCCCCAAACACTGGAGTAGAGGCCTGCAAGGTGAAGATGCAAGTAGTGGTCAGGGTTTCTGAATAATTGAACCTTTGGGGATGAATGTTTGAAAGGATTAGTGGTCTCTGATGAATCAGGGGCTCTAGGGGCAAGGTGCTAGAGGTAGGAGGGAGTTACTGAGAGGGCATTTGGAGTAAGGCTGATTCTCACCGAGGTTCCAGAAACCCATGGAATAGGCACACTGTTGCTGACCACCCAGTAGCCATCAGAAAGTGCAGCAACATCTGGGTAGGCACGGCCACTACCATTGAAGTAACTGGATGGTGGCAGGTGAGGGCTAGAGTTCAGGAACTGGACTACAGCTTCCTCCTGAAAAGCACTTCTGAGTAAGTACTTACCTGTAGCTTGCCCATCAGTCTGCTGAACTGAGGATCTCCCAACCTCTTATCTCTCCACACAAACATGCATGTACCTGGTATGAAGGCCGTGGGAACACGTTGCTGAAGCCACCACCACTGATATAGTCAACTATCTCATTTGTAACACGGAAAGGATTCTGGAAGGAAGTGCCTCCTACTGTGGTGACATAGGGGCTAAGGGAGAAGACAGCATTCAGATAATACAGGACCTCCAAGTTGTGTGGATGAGTAAGCATGGCCTAAATCTTGTTGGAGAGACAAGACTCTATGGGAAGCATGTACACATGCCTCAAGGCATGGTCTGAGCTGACTATATATATATATATATTTATACACACACACTTTTCTCTAGAGAACACTCAATCTGCCACTAAAATGCCTAGGGACTGAGGAAGAGGAACAACTGGGAGCTGTGTCCCACTCAGGAGACTTGAGGCCTAGAACCTATAGGAAGAAGAGAGGGAGTGCAGCAATCAGGGCAGGTTAAACTGAAGGCTGAGCGATAGGAACACCTGATGGAATTAAGGTAAAGGTGCTAAATCACAAGGTCACAGGTGAAAGATATGTGATCACAGGTAAATGGTAGTTTGGAGTGCTTACCTGGAGGCCGGGAAACTAGGACGAAACTGGTGTCTTCCAGAGACAGACCAACACCCAGCTCCACTGTCACCTAGCAGATAGACAAATTTGGAACCTATATTAGTTGGTCAGAGCTTGGTATGTAGATTCAGGTGCTAGGGAGGAAATCTGTTTATCAGCTCTTACTGCAAAAGGTCAGAGTTTAGAGGTTATGTCATTGGTCTCTGTTGAGGTTCTGAGTTCAGATTATGAGTCAGAGATCAGGTTCAGTCAGTGGTCATGGGGGTGAGGGATCAAAGCTCCCAAGTTGGGTGGGTTGGGATAGAATGTCTAAGTTCAGTGTAGGAGTTCACCTGAGGCAAAGAGCAGGGTAAGACCCCGGCTGGCAGCCTTCATGAGCTCGGTGTTGACCCTCTGGATGTAGGCACTGCTGAGGGAGTCTTCATCATCACCATAGCTTACAGTATGCACATGTGGCAAGGATGACTCATTACTGAGCAGGAGGAGCCACTGCAGGAAGGGCTCCTGTGCCTCATGCCGTCCTGGATTTTTTTTTTTTTTTTGAGAGGTGGGCACAAAGGTAGTCATTGGGGATTTGTCAGGATCTCTTTAGCTCATGGCATTCCCTTGTCAAAGCAGGGATCAATAACCACCTCCAACCCACTTCCCCACCAGATGGTCCTCTTAGCAGTACCAGGGCTACTGTAGACCCATGTGGAGATATTGGCACCAGCACTCATCAGGTATTGCACATCCAGACTGGCCTCGATCCCTGCCCGGCCTCGGCCCTGTTTGCCAACCACTCGGGCTACTGATGTCTGGTGTGCAAAGTTGCCACCAAAGAGGTGCATGAACTCAGCAAGATCTGAGTCATGGAAGTACTGCTCCAGAAACTATGGAAGGAGTCAGAGCAGGAATCATGAGTCAGAGAGTGGTAAGACACTGAAGACACCTTGGGGAGGCTGGGGGAACCCTGGGCTCTCTGCTTGGCTCACCTGGGCACAGGCCTGGCTGTTGTTGGTGGTGCCAGAGCCCACATCTTGTGCTGTCAGGTTGTATCGCTCACGAATCACGGATGGAGTCACTCCAAAGTGCAAGCCAACGCTTCCTGCCACTTGTGGCTTGGGGCGTTGCCTCAGAGATGATGTAGGGGGAAAGCGGTGTAGTCCCCCCACTGTGGAAAGGGGTCAGGTTGAGATCTTATAGACTTCAATACTCATTTTGTCCCTGAGCACCTCCACTCAAACCCCATCTAAACTTCTCAGCCCCTGGATCTGCTTGCCCCAACTCCACCAACGCCACTGGGTTTACCAAAATCCACATGAGAGGCCAAGGCCTGAGGGAGCTGGTAGGGACGTAGGGACCTTACAACATGGATCTTTGCTGGTCCCCCCACATAACGATGAAATTCAGCCCCAGGGAGCAGCAGCTCTGCCTGTCTGGAGGTCAGAGATCAGAAAACAGAAGTCAGAAAACACAGAACAGAGCACCACTGGGCAATCAGTCATTATCTCCTCATGCATTAACCACTACTCACAAGCTCTAAGAAACTCTCAACTCCCTCCCTTTGGGGTTTCTAGTCTCCCTGGGACAACTGATGCTTTCCAAGGGGCAATCATTCTCTCTCACCGGACACTCAGCCAGCAAGTCAGAAAGTCCTGTGTGGTCACTGAATTGCAGTTCCGGGCTCCAGCTGCCAAAAGCCATTTTTTGACTGTGTGGAGGGTAAGTGGTGATGGCCGGACCAGCTCAGCCACATCCTCTATGGTTAGATATTTTCCTGCAGATATTCAAAGAGGGGCTTGCTTTCATGGCTTTCCCAATCTGTCTTTTTGAACCCCAGACAATAAACATCAGGACTTTCCAGGGAGGGCTGTGCAGGTGCTGGGTATATTTGGGGGCCAGGGGAAGAAATGTCTGGAAAGACTTGTAATGCTGTGGTCACGAAATACAGATTTACCCTAAAGACCAGTAGGTTGCAAATGATGCACCACAGCATGTATTTCCATGATCATGAAAAGCAAATGAGATTAATATAAGTTTTCTATTTTATCTCCAATAAAAGTTTCCAAAACTTTTGGAGCCAATCATAACATCTAATTTACCTCTTGTCACCATACTTGTTGATTTTAAGCTTAGCATGATGGTGAACCACTATTTCCCACATGAAGCCACACACATTAGTACTCCCCTCTCAGGTGATCTGAGACTTCCCCCTCTCACTTCCACTCTTCACACATACACATTGTCCCCTTGCCATCAAAGACTTTAACTAGAGAAAAGGATACAATCTAGTGGTTGGAAAGACTTTTTTTTGTGAGTACAATAGGTAGTACAGTGGGACTGAGGTAGAGGGGAAAAAAGACTGCAGACCAATCATGGGGCTGGGCAGTTGTCCAGAAGAAAGAATAAACAATAGAGTTGGGGGCAATGAGAGATGACCAAATGTGGATTAACTTAAAGATAATTTAAGAGTTGAAATTGGCAGCCTTGGTGTCTGAGGAGGAAATGGGAGTGGATTTGAGCAAGGGGAGAGGAACTTGAGTTGATGAGCACTTACGGATAATGGGTTCTATTTCATTTATCTGGTAAGTAACAGAATTTAAATCTAGAGCTGATCATAAAGTCTGTACCTTTAACCTTATCCATTTTTTGGTCTTTAGACTGAGGAAAACAGGTGGAACGTGGGGGAAGAATGTTACTTTGGTAGTACAGTTAAGTTCTAATTCACTTTTTTATAAAAAACTCCTCAATGATAGTCACTGCCATTCATCTGCCCTATATCACTCCCCTGTCAGGCACAAGGAGCATGACCCTGATGTGATTTATACCATCTCATGCCCTGCCCAGCCCTGTGTCTTTCACTGCATTCCACTTTGTGCCCTGGTTCCCAACATGCACCGTAGCGAGGAGAGCCAGGATCCGACACGGCCTGTACCAACTCCGAGAGTCTCTCCAGATTCTGCTGTCTCAAAGCAAAGGTGAGACTCAGCTCTTCCTCAGGGTCCACAGGGCCCAGGGACACCCAGCCTGGGGGCAACCTGCAAGGTCAGGGGACAGGTTAGGATGTGGAGGGGAAATATGGGTGGGTTGGGGAAGGTTCTGGATTAGCGGCTGAGACTTTGGGTACAATCTCAGAAGTAGATAAGGATCACAGAAGATGAATGACAAACTAAGCCTGGGAAACTGGGGTATGGAGGCTATAGAGGTAGAAGGAGCTGGTTTGAGAGTGAGGGATGCTAAGACCAGGACAGTGGGTGCAGAACAGGGCATTCGGAAGGAGACAGTCAGTGTTAGGTCAACTCACGTCCTCCGCTGGTCAGGCTCTGGGCTGTAACTACCTTTGCTGGCGACGATGAGGGCAAGGAGCCCTAGGAGGCTGCGGGGACGGCAGGTGGGTTTTAGTGGTAGCTTTACTGTCATTATATTCCCACCCTCCAACACGTATTCTTTCCAACATGATCCCCTTCACTCCGGGCCCCCCCTAATTTCTCACCAGGTTCTGAGTCCCATTCCGCCTTTCTGCAGATCTGCTGTCATGTGACAGATCACATGGGCCCCATCTTCCAGGGCCACCACCTCCCTGCCTAGTAACTAGTGACGATGCAGGCTTCTTCCTTTCAAATGGTCCTGAATGCTGGGAAGGGGTGGGGCTACCATTAAGATTTCCTCTCTCTGCATAGTTTAGCACAGCTCCCCACCTGCTGCCTAAGTCCCGTCCCCACCCCTCTCCACAGAATCATCACCAGGGAGTGGTTGGTTCTGGAGGCCTACAGACATGGGTTATTCCCAGCTGTTTGATTAAGAGAAATAACTTCTTAGACTTTAGGTTTCTACATTTACAATAGAGACTATCATAAAAAGTGATTTGCCTCCAAATTAATTAGGGTTACAGTGAAAATTTATTCTGAGATAAAACAGCAAATTGCCAAGCAGAGCCTGACTCAACAGATGTGAGGTCTTAAGCTCCAAGAAGGAATCACTTCACTTGGCTACTCCTTTTTTTATGGGGTGGATACTGGGGAACCTAGGGCTGCTTTACCGCTGAGCTACATCCCCAGTCTTTTTTTTTTTTTTTTTTTTTAACAGTGTCTTGCTAAGTTGCTAAAGCTGGCCTCAAACTTGCATTCCTCCTATCTTGGTTGGCCTCTTGCCCACATTAGAGGGAAAGCACTGTAGAGAGATGTGATTGTCAGTCTCAGGCTAGGCTCTTGAGCTCCTGGTATAATCCCCATCCTAGATATACACATATCCATAATAGGTGCCTTCCAGTCATCCCCACAGAACAGAGCCAGAGGCTGGATACAAACTGCAGTTTATTAAGGCTCCAGAGTGAGAATTGGCACTTGTTCTGGGTAGGGGCAGGGTGTCAAAGAAACCCAAAGGAGCTGGGCCCAAACAGCTTAGAGGGACCTTCCCCATTCCCCTACCCCCCCAATAAATAAAAGTCTTGCTCCATCTCAGGGTGCTGGCACAGGGCAGGAAGTCCTCATTGAGGAGAACCAAGGGCTGCTGCCTCCTTCATATTCCTCCCCACACTGGACCTGACTGGGATGAATGTGGGACCTGCCCCCACTGAAGAATTTGGGATGGAGAGCTGGGGCTTGACAGTGGCCTCCCTGTGGCCAGTCATGGTCCGAGGCTGCCCATGGCAGGCTCAGAGTGGGGCCTGCATTGGGGACACTATGCGCATCCCAGGTCGGGGCCCAGCCTGGGCCACAGCTAGATGTGCAGCTCCGTGTCATCAGGTGGCTCCAGGCCAGACTCTGTGCTGAGTGCTGAAGCTGAGGGGCCCTGGGCCACCCCAAATGGGGAGACAACAGGTGAGCGAGCAGCCAGAGGAGACAGCGAGGGTGAGAAGCTGGGGGACATGGCAGCTGAAGACAAAGAGCCTTCGTGGCTGATGGGAGAGCGGTGAGAGGACGGTGGGAAGATGGCCCGTGCTGCAGCTGTGCTTGCAGGTTTGGGGGGCACAGACTTGGCTCCTGGGTGGGCCACGGCAGTGATGAGGGGTGGTGGGTCAATACGGGGAGCAGGGGGACATGGCCGTGCTTCATCCTTGAGCCGAGCAATCTCTGTGAAGACACTGGCCAGTGGTTGGAACTGAGGGCACCAGCTCAGCAGGTAGTCCCAGTTATAGCTGCCACGAAGCTCCTCCTCTCCAGCCACAATGGCGGTCAGTGCACCTGCCACACATGGTTTGCCATCTGCTGGGAAGCCATAGTCCCCAGTGGGTGCGGGGCTCAGGCCACAGCCCCCCAGAAAGGCTGTGGCAGTGGCTGGGGGTCCCTCCTCTCGATACAAAGTGGCTCCTGCACCTGGCAGCAGCAGCCCTGCCTTTCGACCCTTATACCAGGTGTCAGGGGCAGGTGGCTCACAGGATGTGTCACTCAGTCCATCTGCATCCTGCTGGATGCCTGAGTCAGGGCCCCGGGCAGCCAGGGAGGAGGCCACACTGGCCACACGGGGAAACTCGTTGATCATGCGTATCTCATCATCTTCTGCAGCCTCTGCTGAACCTCGGCCACTTGAGTGTGAAGGGTCCAGGGAGCCACCACGAGGGTAAGGTCCGCCAGCTCCCGGCCCACCATAGCTGGGGAGAGTCTGGTGATACAGGTGCTCTGATGGTGGTGGGCTGGGAGGATCCCGGCCCAGCTTCTGCAGGGAGCCACTGGCTAGGGGTGCTGCCTGTGACATTGGGCCAGGGGCTGCATCAGCCTTCCGGCTGCGGGCCCGAACAAGTCCTAGGACCAGGGCTGCCAGTGCAAGCACCACCACAACTCCCAAGGAGGCTGCCACAGCCCCCACCAATAGTAGGTTAAGGTCAGGTGCCAGGCCTAGTGCAGTGTGAGTGATATCTACAGTCACAGGTACCGTGGCACTTCTGGAACCAGGCAGAGGCCCCCGTGCTACCACCTCCAGCCTTAGCTCCCGTGGTGCTTCACGCCGGGTCCGGCTCCCACCCCCAGAGGTGGTTGTTCCACTGCCTGGTGCCTGACTGTCCACCCGCAGGTACAGGGCACCTGTAGTCTGGTTGATACCAAAATAGGGGGAAGAGGTGGCAAGGGAATAGAGCACCAGGCCATCAGCACCCCCGTCCTCATCTGTGGCCTGCACATGACCCAGGCTGTGGCCACGCTGGGCACCTTCTGGCACTTGGAAGTGGAAAGCTGGAGCCAAGAATACTGGGTCATACTCATCCTCTCCAGTCACCAGCACTGACACAGTGACAGAAGCTGAGAGATTCCCAGCATCAGCAGCACCCACCAGCAGCCGGAAACTTCCTGTGTGCTCATAGTCAAAGGGCACTCGTGCCCGCAATTCCCCTGTAGAGCTGTTGAGTGCAAAAGCCTCACGACCCCCAGGCCCAGCCTCTAGCAGGCTATAGCGGAGCTTCCCAAAAGCCCCAGCATCCCCATCAATTGCATGCAGAGTGGTCACAAGAGTGCCTGGAGGCTGGTTCTCAGCCAGGCTGGTGCTGAGCAAGTTCAGTGGGAAGGATGGGCCATGGTCATTCACATCCTGGACCTCAATTGTCACTGGTGCCAAAGCAAAGTGTGCCCCAGCAGGGTCAGCAGCCTGCACTACAAGCTGATGGCGAGCCTGGGTCTCACAGTCCAGGGGGAGGGCCAATCGCAAGGTGCCAGAGCTCTCATCCAGTTCAAAGAGCCCCAAAGGGTCACCTGAACTGAGGGTAAAATGCACAAGGCCATGAGGGCCAGGGTCAGCATCAGAAGCCTCCATGTGCAGCAGCTCAGCTCCAACAGGTATGTCCTCAGGTACTGTCACATGGTAGGATGCTCGGGTAAAGACAGGTGGGTTATCATTGACATCCAGCACAGTAACGGTCACTGGCACAACTGAACTGCGTGGTGGCTGCCCCCGGTCAGCTGCAGTCACAGTTAGATTGTACTGTGTGAGGCTTTCAAAATCTAGAGGCTCAAGCAACACCAGGCAGCCTAGTGCCTGGGGGCCTGGTCCAATGCCCTCTCCAGCCTCGGCCAGCCGGGATTCCAGATGAAAGACTCGGCCCCGGTTGCCACTAATGATGCTATAGTCCACAGTGGCATGGGTGCGGCTTCTGTCAGCATCTGTGGCCTCCAGGGTGAGCAGTGTGGAACCAGGGGGTAGATCTTCAGTCACAGCCACACGGTAATGTGGCAATGTGAAGCTTGGGGCGTGGTCATTTTGGTCCTGTAGCTGCACATGCACTGTGGCTCGTGCTGCTCGGCCTGGAGTCCCATGGTCTCGGGCTTCCAGAACCACATCCACCACTCCTGGCCCCTCATGGCCCAAAACCACTGTTCCTAGTGTTGTGAACAAAGTTCCTGAGATGAGAAGGGAGGGAAAAGAAATAGTCATTCAGCAGTGGCTGTGTGTGAGCAGCTTGGGAAGTCAGACTCCAGGCAATGGCCTGTGTGCTGGGAGAGTATGGAATGGCCTCATGGATTCAAAGCTCAGGGAATAGCTTCTAGACAAGCAGTCAGGGCAGGGCTTATCATATTAAAGACAGAAGGAAGAAATATCCTCCCTAGGTCAGAGATCTAGGAATCAAAATTTTGAGTAATAAGTTCTAGGAGTGAGGTCCAAATGTGGCCCAATATTGTCAAAGATAAAGGGGTTACATTCTGGGGAAGACACGCACCATTGTTGGGATCAACACTGAAGCCTTCAGCAGGGGAAGCCAGATGGTAGGAGATGTGACCATTGGCACCGGAGTCACGGTCAGTGGCAGAAACAGAGAGAATGGCACTTCCTGGGGGAGTGTGCTCAAGCAGCATTACCTGGGGTGTGAGAAAACGTGTTCATGGCCAAGCTGCCATGCTTGGTGTCCATTATGGCTTGGAGCCCATACTCCTTAATATTTGAATGAGAACTGCCCACCTTCTCCCCTTTCTGGCCACAGGATGTAGAAGTTCACACAACCTGGAAGGCTTTTCTGAGATGGGACCCTCCCATTCCAAGGCAACTCCAACATCCAGCCCACTCCAACCACTTCTAGCTCCGCCACATCCCTCCAACAGGAACAATTTCTGGCCCAGTTGTGGGTACATCCAGGGGAGTTGGTACCTGGTAGAGGCTCTGTGAGAAGGTAGGTGCATTGTCATTGACATCCTCCACAAGCACTGTGAGGTTGGCATGGCCCTCGTGAGGTCCATCATGAGCCAGCAGCTGCAGATGGTAGTGGTCACACTGCTCAAAGTCCAAGGGACCCGTGAGGGAGACACGGCCTCCATAGCGGCCAATACTGAAAGGATCCTGAGGTCCAGATGGACTTAACACATACCACAGCACTGGTCCAGAATCCACATCATTCCCTGTTACCTGTGCAATCTCTGAGCCCAATAGTGCATCTGCAATATATGGGACGAGGTTGCTTTGGCGGGGTTCCAAGCAACCCTGGAGCTGCAGGATGAGAATTAATGCCTCTCAACCACCCCTTTATACCTCTTGTTTTACCAGCCCTTACCTTCAGACACTCGGAGCTCCCAGGGCTGGGGGATAGTGGGGCGATTGTCATTGGAATCGATGACCATCACTGTCAGGGTAGCTGAACCCA